CCATCATTCACCACACGAAACTTCCTCAAGCCTACAGATTTATCCATTACAACACGATTTCACTTCTCTCCTCTCTCGGTCTCCTCTCTCTCTCGTCTCTCCGAATTCCTGCTCTCTCTCTCTCTCTCTCTCTCGTATCGATGCTTCTCCCTCCTCTGTGGGTTTGTTCTCCAGTTTGTGCACTTTCACCTTCTCTGTGGTGACTTTTTTCCCCACCTCCATGTGGTACATGTTTGGAGTGGGGCGCGGCATAATAGCCCCTTACACACCTCCGCCTTTCCCCTTCTCACAAAAGTTGATTGCAGCCCCAGTTTTTGATCCGTGTTGAAAGTTATGATGAAGTTTTTACTGGCACCGTTTCCTCTGAGCAGAGCCGATAACAGCGATGGAAAATCTGACTCTCACCGATCCCACAAGAGTAAGCTTCATTAGATCAGGACCTTAAAGTTACAATTAATGCGCATTGGTCTACCGGCGTCATTTTAGCTCGACACCTGACACTGTGCATGTTTTTGTGGAATGTAAATCATTTGTTGATCAAAAGGTAAAAAAAACAAGCACAAGTCATTATTTTCTCTCAAATTCTTGTTTTACTTTATTTATACGGCATTCACATCATTCTGACTTAGCATTGTTAAGGGGCTGTACCAGTGTTTTTAAGTCATTTCATCATAGCGTAAAAGACTCGTTTGAGTTCAGCAATCTATCCCAGTGGACATCATGTTTGCTTTTATTTTTGTAAAAGTTGCGTTATTGTCTGCACTCACAACATTTAAAGGTACTCTGTGGAGTATTTGACCACTAGTAGCGCTGTGGAGCAATCTTTTTAGTTTTTTAGAGCGGCTACTCAATGTGTTTGCAAGACGGCAGTGATGCAACACCTCCGTGCTTATGGTTCCTCACCGCTCCACTGGTTTACAGTCAGTGGCGGTCGTGCAACAACAAACGAAACCTCAAGGAAACATGCAGTGTGCTTTGTTAAGAAACTGAATGTGAACACAACTTTTGTTGTTTACTAGAAACCTCCACAGGGTACCTTTAACTTTGACAAACATAAGAGCAGCTTTCTACCGAGTCTGCCATATCGAACTGCCATGTTTCTACAGTAGCCCAGAGAGGACAAACCAAACACTGGTTCTAGAGCTGTTTTTTACACTGTTCAATACAATTCAGAAACCTAAACCTAAAATACTCATGCCAAGAAAACATTACTGCTTTACAGTTAAGTGACATGATTTGTAGTAAATGAGCTATAACACTGGTATTGCCCTTCAAAATAAAACATTATTGCCGCTTGAATTTAATTTTCATAGCTCTGGTCATCAGTACTATCAGCTATGATAACATTGTATCCACCAAGTGAATTTCTGAGATATGGGAACACAGCAGGATCGTGAAAAATAGCTCCAAGATAGAGGATCAGACAGGCTGCAAACAAAGCTTCAGGTTAGCCAATCTAAAAACAACTGTCTGTTGTAATTGTGTGCGCCCAGTTTTCCTGTTCAATGAGGAATGATTTGCAATATTTTAGGTGTGCACACTTTCAGTTTGTCTCCAACCTGTCTGATCGTCCGACAGCTCGTGTCCAGAGCTATGAAAGTTAAAACCCAAGTTACCCTTTTAAGTGAGATGATTGTCAAAGCAAAATTATCGGGCAAACAACAGAAGCTTAAAAATTAGAACACAGCGTAGTACGGTGGTGCTAAAGGTCCATTATGTCTGCTGTCATGTAAAAACGGCTACTTGTTTACAGATGTCTTTACAAAAAGAGTTGTCGACCTGCCGGATTTAGAGAAGGTCATGCTGCAGGCCAAATGTTCGTCTCTGATCAGCATGGACTGTGTGCTCACTTTGCCAGAAGTCTTTATCTTGCTTTTTCTTTGTTTTCTCTCCATTTTGATGATGTTTTATATTGAATTACTCAATTAAATTAACAAGAAATGTATGGGTTGGCTTTGGCTCTTTACTACTGACCTGTGCCTCAGTCACACACCTCTCACCCTCAGCATGTCTCTGTTTTCTCCATTTCTCCTCGGAGTAGGTGTGGATAGGTTGGGTGGTGGCAGTTGGTTTCCCAGCCGTTCTAATCTTCCGCTCTGACTTCACTAGGTTGCCAGCAAAAGTGAGGATGGCTGCCGCGACAACGGGAATGCTGCTTGAACACTACAGTGCTATGTCCACATTCAACATGTGGTAGTGGTTCTGCTTGAGCTTTGGTAACATGGGAGGTATTAGCATGGGTGCTTAATGGCATCTACTGTGGAGTGACAGCACCCACAGGCCTGCTGTGAGAAGCTGTAGAGGCATGTAGGGTTAAACTGTCTGTCTTTGTCACCTTGAAACCAAAGAGGGATTGAAAAATTATTGTCATTAATTAAACTGCTCATTTTTCTAATCGATTGGTCTATAAAAAGTTTTCACAGTTTACATATTTAAATCTCTCATTTTGTCTGATTAACAGACCAAAACTCAAATATACTGTTTAATATCACAAGTATTTACTTTTGCTTAAAAATTCCTTTAAGGAAGAATTTGAACTCGACAGTTTCACATGTGGCATAATTCTCTATTAAACTGGCTACACTTTGAATCTGATCAAACTGGAAACTAGAAATTCTTACATGTACCAAACACTATGAATGGAGTGTTTTTCCTACTAAAACCAGTGAAACTGAACACATTCACTCACAATGGGCTGTTTTTTTTTTTTTTAAAGGATCCAAATCTATGCAACAGAACCAGAGAGATTGTCTTTTTTATTCCATGCGCCTAAATTACCCACAATGCAACGTGGGCTACAGTGGTCTGGAAACTGCACCCAATCAGATTTTTTTCATTTTTAAACATGTAGCCTTTAGCCCCACCTGACACTGCCTCAAGTGACATCACTTGAGGATATTGATCAGCTTTCACACAGCTTCCACTGGAGACACTGAAGGTTCTCTATGACTTTTTCACATATGCAGTAGTACTCCCCAGCACCTGGAAAGAGTTTGCCTTTAACTAATCTTGCCAGCCAGCCTCATACTGTTATAGGACCCCCAAATCCCCAATAATTGAAACTCAGCTGTATACTGTATCTTCAAACAAAACATTTCAATCTGACTAAACTAAACAGGTGTGACAGTTTTGTGCTAGCTAAACGGTGTGTTGATTATTTCTTGGATATTGGAAATATAATCATGCCTTTCCAGCATTGACACATTGTACGCAAACAGTGACGTGCTCCATGCAGCAGCACGGACGGTGAGCAGCCATTCAGCTCACATCTTGGATGACTGACTGAGTGGCAACAAGGCAGAGACTCTTATCTTTGTAGATTTCTTTATTTCAATGACACAAAAGGGCAAATAAATAACAACACAAAAAACATCATAAACAGCCCAGAATTTTCCAACCGGTGCATCCATATTGACCCTCTTAGTTGTATAGGTATGCTAACATTTGCTAATTAGCACAATGAGTGCAATATTTCAGAGATCGTGTAGAGACATTTAAGTCTGGGCCAAAGTGGTGGACCACCGAGCTGCGCTGATAGGTGCTTTTACCATCAAAGCACCAAAGCTGCACACACTGGGCACTGCACTTCATCTGCTAAATGGACCAACTGTCCTAGTGAGTGACAGTGGCCGTCTGCAGGGCAGTGTGGCTGGAAATGGTAAAAATCACCATTCTGATAACTGATTTTATCTTTCATAGATACAGATTGTGGCTTTGGGGCTCGAGCTCTGGCTGGCTGAACAAGGCTCAGTTACACTGATAGATATGCTCTGAGAGGAAAGCCTCTGTGTGGAAGTTTTTCTTGTGATTCTTTGTTTGGAGATAAACAATCTGAGTGACAGTTGGTGCAGTCTGTGTGTTGCTTTCAGTCCATTTATCGTAAGGGTTCAGTTTGGGACAAAGGATTTCTTCCAATGGCTGAAGGCAAAAGTGTCTCTAGCTGCACATTCAGCCGCGAGGTGGAAAGCCAGCCAGTAGAGAGGGTTCGATGCGTGATGAATTATACCAATGGGGATACAGTTTCAAGGCTTTGATAGTGTTGCAGTTGGTTGTTCAAATGCAAAGAGAGGTTGAGAGAATTGAGGTCAAATCCTCCTTACTAATTTCTTTCCTCTGCACACTGGACTAATTGCTGCATAAAGTGGCTGTGATTGTCGGCGTCCTCTAATTCCGTCATTGGACAGGTGCTTATGAAGGTTGTTAACTGATCTGACAAGTACATGTTTAAAGCACGCTGAAGACTTAAGAGGTCCCAGGTGGTAGAGGAAAAAAATCTCAATTCCTACACAGAAGGCTTTCAAGCTGCAGGAGGTCATTTTTTAAAATATTCTTGGAACATCCATTTCTGGTAAAAATACAGTTTGCGGAACTTTCTGGGAACGTTCTCCTGAACTAACCATTGTGCCTTGATTGCTATTAATCTTGTTTGAATTCACATTTCAGCTTGACAAAATATAAAATATAAGCTTTTAAAAGAATAACCTTCTGAGAATGTTCTGTAAAGGGCATTTAAACTACCTTCTGGGAACATTTCCTGAAGTTTACCAGTTTGCTGGGTATAGAGCTGATGGCCAGAGCTACTAAACTAACCCAATTTATAAAAATCAGTATTTCTTTAAATACTAAATTAACATTAAATCACTAATAAAACTACACATTTCTGCATTTGTGACCACACCCTAATCAGTGATGTCACAATGGGTATTAGCCCCTGACAGCATACTGAAAAAACTTGCTGTGATGTCACTGACTGGAGTCGGGGCAGGAGTGCAACACGCTGGAAGGTTTTAACCCATGAGTCAGCGCATGCTTCTTTATTTTTGTATAGTATGAACTGCATAGCCCAACATACCTTTAATACACAACTGTGTTTCATAACATGCTTTTACTATTAACTCTGTCCACTGTGAACTCATCTAAATGTATACATCACACAGGTAAATGATTGTTAATGGCAGCCTTTCTGTGTAGAGGTTCTTATTGGCTGTTCCTCATAGTTCTCAGATTTGAAAAAATATGCAAATTTTTATGTTGATCAACTTCATTTGAACGTCATTTTAAGATCCTTATTAAATAGGAATAGGTTTTTCAGTCTTTTTTTCTTTTCTTTTTTTATGTCAGTGTCATAAATTCTTTGTGACTCAGCGTATTTAAGGATTGTTCTATCTCATTCTGTTTGTGGGTTGTATTTGATCTACTGTGTGTGCCTTTATGAAGAAATAAGTTAATTTATTGAGCTAATGGCTATAGCCATAATGGTGTACTTGATGTGGTTTGTGGATATAATAAAATATAAGATATAAAATGGAAGTTAAAAACTAAAAGTTTGATCTTGTCTTACATTGGGAGAATAAATCACTGAAATTGTCAAAGAATTGTGCTATTTGTTCCATATATTTCTTTTATTTTCTTAGAACAGCATTATGTTTTTGTCATTGAAGCATATGGAGTCTGGGATGTACCACTGGAACAACTGAGAGTTCATTTGCAAAAACAGATAAAAGCCATTCTTAAGGTAAAGGACCAGTGTGTACATTAAGTGGCATCTAGAAGTGAAGTTGCAGATTGCAACCATTTGGATACTACTCACCTTCTAAGTGCGTAGGAGAAACTACAGTGGCTACAAAACTTGCAGAAGGCCCTATCTAGAGCCAGTG